CCCCCCCCCCCCCGAGCCTGCTGCCTATCCACAATTCCTTCTCGTTGGCACAAGCTCTTGCTACAGTAAGGACCTTTGGGCCACGCTCTTGCAGCCTGCCTGGCACTGAAGGGTCTTGTGCCTTCTCCCTAGCAGTCGGTGCTCTGGGATTTTGCACATCAGGGCAGACCAACCCAACCTCCGCTGGGCCTCCGAGAGACACCGCTCTCTTTTCAAGCCCTTGTGCCTCTCTCGGCCTTCTCTCTCCGCAGTGCGTTTTCCTCGTGCCAAGAGAGAACCCTGATGGAGACGTTTCCCCGAGAGGCGCCAATTAAGGGCCGGCAGGGCCTGCAATTTATCATCTGGGAAGTGTTTACGAATTAGCCTCCTCCTCCTCCTCACACAACTGGCTTATTTAGAGATATAAATTCAAGCCACCCTAAGCGTGAACAGGGCCTTTCATTTCGAGCTGTTTGCCTTGCCAGGTGGAGTGAAGGCTTGTGGGGAAAGTGGTGATAAAGTGTCTCATGGAGACAGCACACCAAACAGTCCCAGGCATGCAGCACCAGCAGTGTGTGTGTGTGTGTGTGTGTGTGTGTGTGTGTTTGTGTGTATGTATATATGTGCTAGGAGGGGATGGCTCATTGAACAGCAGTCTCTTTGCCTAGCCAAAACAGAAATTATAGGTATCTTCCCCTCCAAACTAAACACTAAAGTGTGTTGTAGCAAGGAGACATGACACAAAAGTCATATTTGGTGATGGCATTGTGTCTATGTGCGTGTATCTTTCGATTAACACATTCCTCCACATCCCAACAGCAAGATAACCACCCCACAAGCAAGATCCCCACATGCAAGTTAGAGCCCTTTGCATACTCTCCAACCGTCTACAGATGAAAACCATGCATCTCAATTCATTGTGTATGGAAGTGGATGAACGTTTTTGTCCAGTGTAGTATGTCTGCCTTCATATCATGCATGTAGTACCATTGAGCATGGATGTGCATTGTTCACTGAACATGGACGGGCATGCTCATTGCAAGTAGATGCACATGCACATTTGGATGGGCACTCTGCTGTACATTTCCATCTATCCATCACTTTATTTATAGCCCACCTTTCTCCCTGAGTGGAATGCAAGGTAGAAATTTACAATAATAACACACATCATAAAAAGACATACAACATTTGACACAAAAACAGTGTTGTTGTTGTGTGCCTTCAAGTCATTTCCAACTTATGGCAACCCTAAAATAAACCTATCATAGGGTTTACTTGGCAAGATTTGTTCAAAGGAGGTTTGCCATTGCCTTCCTCTGAGA